GTCTCATGAGAATATTCTGGGATGTTGTTGGCAATTTTTGAAATGCAACAACTCCACTTATTATCTCCCCAAGGGCGCCACTTTTGATCAGATTTTTGGGAGAAAAATCTGATTTGTTTTTGAAACTTAAAAGGCTTCTCTTGTGTACTTAATGAGCAGTTAGTTCCTCCTTAGGTTTGTGTGAAAAAACCAAGCCTTTCTCTACTCATCTATGCGCCCCTTGTGAGGTTTTCTCTTAGAACACTTCACTCTTCTAAACACTTTTACCTAGCCTCCTACATCACACACTGAGCGCATAGCAAGCCTTATTGTGGTGATCAATCGGCGGCCTTACTGGAAGGAGTTCCTGTATCTAGTCGCGGGTGGTGTGGATCAACGTTAGAGGGTCTGAACCCTTCAGACATACCTTGATCATCTTGAGTTTTCACGAACAAGGTATGACATACGTCTTAAAGTATGTATCTTGATATGCATGTGTGTTCCGCTTGCAAAAAATCTTGTTTTTCCCTCACGCATGTTTCGGCCTTCAAGGCCAATTCTACTTTCAAGTGGTATCAGAGCTCGGTTACTTTACCATAGACGGGTGATGGTACCTTGTTTGTGAACCTGTTTCTCACGGTTAAAATTTCTTTAAAGAGTTAAAGATTCAATTTTTATGTATGGATTTTAATTTACAATACTTTAAACGGTTAAATTTTTTTTTTATGAACATCTTAATTTGATTGGTGTGTTCATATATCCATATGTCTTCATGGTTATCATTCTTTTCTTTATGAAAGTTTTAAAAGGAAACACCTTTTTGAAAGGTGGAGTTCGACCATGAAAGGCGTTTTGAACATCTTGATTGTTTTCTTATTTTTCATGAATTGTTTCATGAGCAAAGCATGTAATAAAATTTTTCAAAAATTAATCTCATATACATTATTAGTATATGGTTCGGCCATCAAGTGTAGATGGCTACATGCATGGTTTAAATTTTATGTTCTTTGAGAAAGAGTCAATAAAATTTGAGTTATATTAATGGTTGTATATAATTCGGCCAATTGAGAAATCTAAGAAAATTTTAATTTTAATTTTTTGTTTTGATGTTTAATTGTTAAATATCAAGACATATGTGAAAAACATATTATATGATAATATTTTGTACTTGTGAGTTGTCTAACATTTAAGGTGCAAAAGAGGAAGGGGATGGTCATGGTGCCCAAAGTTTAAATTTCGAATTTTAAAATTTATGTGTAATTTTTGCTCTTTAAATTAGAGTTGTAATTTGATTTTTAAATTTTTTATTTTAAATTTTGTCCCTCCAAAATGTTTTGGAGTTTCTTTAATTGTAATTAGAGAATTTAGGCTAGTGGCGTATAGACGACAAGAAGCCGAGGCTTGAGAAGCAAGATGGAAAAAAGATCGAGCACCATGACTATCTCAAAATAAATTATTTTATTTGCATGTATGTTTTGTACGACTAGCATGCATGAGATAGTGCATCACGATATGTATGCTTTATTGCTTATGACGTCTAGTATGCATGAATTGGACAAATCGCGTTTGTATGATTATTATGCACGTCCAATTTCGACTAGTCTAAACCGATAGATGTATGACATAGGTTACGACTAGCATGATAATATATTAATGCGTTTGATGAGACCTAATAAAATCCCTAAATAAAAGGAACCCTTAAAAGGAATAAATTAAGCATATGATTACCTCCCACCACCAATATTACTTGAACCTCCTCTACATAGTGGTGCTCCACAACTCAGTTGGGACCCACTGTTTCGTTGAGTAAGAGTAGTATTAGAAGTGTCAGACACTTAGGGTGCTGGTTAATGCTTAACTAAGGCGTAAGTTGCAGGCCTAGCCGGGCTTATGGGCTTAGGCTAATAATGCTAGGTTGGTTGCATGAGATGCACCACTAAGTGACAAGGAGTTGTCAACCTAATGTTAAGAGAGGGTATGAGATACTGTTGATTAGGATCAACCCATTATTTAAATTAATCTTGCGATCTTAGACGAGGGTTAAAATAAATAATCGCACTCTTAATCTCACTAAGGTAAAATCTAAAAGTAGATTAACCCTAAGTCAAATGGTAAGGGTCATTGACTTAGATAAAATAATGGGAGGGGCAATTTATTTAAAGTCTTTAATAAATTGTAACACGACAATATATTAATTAATCTTTCTTTACATTTTTTTTTCAGTTTTTAGTAAGAATAATCCACTGTCACTGCGCTCAATACTTGATACGAATAAACTGACCGGTTCAAACTTTATGGACTGGTATCGGAACCTGAGAATTGTTCTTAGGGCCGAAAAGATTGCCTACGTTCTTGATGGTGCATTACCCGTAGCTCCTAGGGAAAGGGAAGATGGGTTCGCGGAATATGATTTCGAGGCCCACAAACAACACATGGATGACGATACGATGGCAGTATGCATCATGTTGGCATCCATGTCACCTGAACTACAAAAGCAGCATGAGCATATGGATGCTCCCTCTATTGTCTTACATCTCAAGGAGTTGTATGACGTTAAAGGCAGGCATGAGAGGTATAAGGCCTCTAGAGAACTGTTCTCTTGCAGGATGTCTGAGAACATGTCTGTTAGAAGTCATGTTCTTAAGATAATCAGGCTGATTGAGAAGCTAGGAAATCTAGGCTTCTTGATGGATGCCGAACTGAGTAATGAGTTAGTCATGGCCTCACTTCCACCTTCCTTCAGTCAATTCATAATGAATTATAACATGCATGGGATGCTTGTTAGCTTGCCTGAATTGTTAAGTATGTTAACAACTGCTGAAGTGTCTATCAAGAAGGATAGGACACAAGCTCTTCTGATTGGTGGGCCTAGCAAGGCCAAGGGTAAGGGTAAGGGTAAGGAGCCTGCTAAAGGTGACTCCCTTAAGCCCAAAGGAAAATCCAAGAAGAAGAAGGGCAACAAGAAGGGTAAGAAAGCCTCCAAGGACAAAGGCGATGCTGAGTGCTTCCATTGTGGCAAGAAAGGCCATTGGAAGAGGAATTATCCAGACTACTTGAAGAGTGTGAAGGACAAGAAGCATGGTGATGCTTCTGCCTCAGGTACTTTCATGATTGAGATAAATTATTCTTGTGCTAATCCGACTTCATGGGTATTGGATACCGGTTGTGGTTCTCATATCTGCAATATGTTGCAGGTGCTTAGGAGCCCAAGGAGATTGGAGAGAAATGAGGTGGATCTTCGCGTTGGCAATGGAGCAAGGGTTGCTGCTCATTCTGTTGGAGATGCCGACCTTATTTTGCCTACGTGCCTTTTATTGCATTTGAATAATTGTCTTTATGTTTCGAACATTTCTAGAAACATTATTTCTATTTCTTGTTTAGAACAAGATGGTTTTACTTTTAGTATTAAGAATGGTACATTTTCTATCATTTTGAATGATATTGTTTATGGTACTGCTTCATTAATAAATGGATTGTGTGTTCTGGAAATGGGAACTGAAGTGCTCAATGTAGCTGTGAAACGACCTAGGATAGATAATCAATCTTATCTTTGGCATTGTAGACTAGGGCACATAAACGAAACAAGATTGTCTAGGATGCATGCAAATGGATACCTAGATTCCACAGATTTGGAATCCTATGGACAATGTGAATCTTGTCTAGCTGGGAATATGACTTGTCACAAGCCCAAGGGGCTTAAGATTCATAGGGCTAGTGAGTTATTAGAATGCATTCACACTGATGTTTGTGGGCCAATGTCTATAGAGGCTAGAGGAGGATTTTCTAGAATCGTTGAGAGAGTGAGGGTTGTTTGGAGCCTTTTTGGGGTTGGCTGGCAGATTTGTTTGTCCAACTTCAAACGGCGATAACCGGAGCAAACGAGAACTTTATAACTCGTGTGGTAGCTTGTTAGAAATATAATTAAGTCTAGAATAACATACTAAAAGATGAGTAGCACGCGGCTTGTGGATTTTCCACAGTAATTAGAGGACCAAATCATGTTCAGATAGGTAGAAAACGTAAAAGTGAGATTTAGGCTAAGTGAGTTTATGGGAACCCCTTAGTGACTTGAGAGAAGTGTTATATGATATTTAGGCAGTTTAAATGATTATTCCGCATAGATTTTCAGTTTCGGTCATAACTTATATTTATTACGCTTTTTATTGTTTTAAATGCTCGCATAATAAAAAGGAAAAAGTTTACTCACATTTTTATAAATGAACCGCTATGATTGTAACTGCGCTTAATATCATAATCAATGTTAACAATACCGGTGTGCAACGGGCTGTTACAAGGGCAACCCTCCCAAGCACCCCCATCAGCAGCCCACTCTCTCTACCCTTTGGAGACTCAAACTTTCTCCTCCTTCTCTCTAGAATTTCATCACCAAAACTCCCTCAAATCACTAAACATTCTTCACCAAAGTTGTTCCCCTCATCATCCTCTTCAAGAATATCCTATTTTTACTTTGAAAAGCAAAATTTTCGTAGGTCTTATTCTCCATACAACAGCGTGTTCATGGCTTCCTCAAGCCATGGTGATGGTGCTTTTAGTTATACTTGAAGAACATCACTTGGATGCTTAGTTCCCTATGTTCTAGTGTAGGTTTCTTGAGTTTTTCTCTTGAAAAATCTCAGCTTTGTGTTGTGTTCTTGAGTTCTAACCTTTAGTTTTCTTAAAGGTATGTTCTTTGTTAAGAATGGAAGTGGAAGAGCGGGACTGGGAAGATTCCCACATGTGTTAAGTGTGGTAAATCACATTTTGGTATGTGTCGGCTCGAGCAGAATGCATGTTTCAGTTGTGGGCAGGCTGGACATTTCTCTACAGAATGCCCCCAGAGGAAGGGGCAGGTGGCAGCTATCCAGGCAGTTCCTATCCAGACTGTTCCGACTCTAATGGTCATTGAGGAGTCTCCAGTACCCACTAGTGCCAGAGTTTATGCAGTCACTTAGCAGGAGGTCGAGAGGTCGCCTAATTTGATCAGAGGTACCATTCTTATTAAAGGATATGCTTTTGATGCCATGATTGATTCAGGAGCTACCCATTCCTTCATATCAGGATTTGTTGCTAATGGGTTGCATTTGCCCATTCATGAGTTCACACCTCCCATGGGAGTGAAGACTGCCACCGGAGACATTGTTTCTACTTCTTTGAAGTGCAAAGAAGTCAGATTCATATTTGAGAAAGAAGAGTATATGGTGGATTTGATAGTGCTTGAGGGCATGAATCTACACATTATCTTGGGCATGGATTGGTTGGTCTGATATGGTGTGATGCTTGATTGTTGTAGCAGAAGGATTTCCTTTGCTGCAAAAGGAGAGAAGTCAGACAGTTTGTACTTGACGGCACCGCAATTAAAGAAGGCTCTAACTGAGGGAGATGCGGGATACATTATTTTGGTAAGATTAGTAGGAGCCTCCAAGGAACCAACTACCAACATTCCCGTAGTGTGTGAATTTGAGGACGTGAGCCCAGAAGAAATTCCTCAGTTTCCTCCAGAGAGGGAGATTGAATTATCCATTGATTTATTGCCTGGTGTGGGGCCTATTTCCTTGGCTCCTTACCGGATGTAACCTGTATAGTTGAAAAAGCAGAATGAAGAATTATCCAGTAAGAAGTTCATTAGACCGAGTGTATCTCCGTGGGGTGCACTAGTCATCTTTGTGAAGAAGAAGGACGGGACTATGAGGTTGTGCACGGATTATCGGCAATTAAACAATGTGACAGTGAAGAACAAGTACCCCCTAGCCCGCATTGATGATTTGTTGGATCAACTTAGGGGTGCTTCAGTATTTTCAAAGATTGATCTCCATTCTGGATATCACCGGATCCGGGTACAGGCAGAGGACATTCAAAAGAGGGCTTTCCAATCCACATCTGGGCACTACGAGTATTTAGTGATTCTATTTGGGCTTACTAATGCCCCGGCAGTGTTCATGAGTTATATGAACTGAATCTTCAAACCACATCTAGATCAGTTTGTGGTGGTATTTATTGATGATATTATGATCTATTCCAAGAGTAAAGAAGAGCACGCAGAACATTTGCGGATAGTCTTGCAAATTTTGAGGAAGCATCAGTTATATGCCAAACCATCTAAGTGTGAGTTCTGGTTGCATGAGATTCAGTTGAGATCTATTATGATGCATCCAAGTATGGATTAGGGGTGCGTATTGATGCAAGAGCGAAAGGTAGTGGCCTGTGCTTCTAAGCAGTTGAGATCCCATGAAGAAAACTACCCTTCTCATGATCTGGAGTTAGCAGCTGTGGTTTTTGCCTTGAAGATATGGCAGCATTTCTTGTATGGTGCTACTTTCACAGTTTATAGTGACCACAAAAGCTTGAAGTACCTGTTCGATAAAAAAGAGCTTAATATTAGGCAAAGGAGATGGATGGAATTTCTAAAGGATTATGAGTTTGACCTTCAGTATCACCCTCCCAAGCACCCCCATCAGCAGCCCACACACTCTCTCTTTACCCTTTGGAGATTCAAAGTTTCTCCTCCTTCTCTCTAGAATTTCATCACCAAAACTCTCTCAAATCACTAAACACTCTTCACCAAAGTTGTTCCCTTCATCATCCTCTTCAAGAATATCCTATTTTTACTTTGAAAAGCCAAATTTTCATGGGTCTTCTCCTCCAAACAACAGCGTGTTCATGGCTTCCTCAAGCCATGATGATGGTGCTTTGAGTTATACTTGAAGAACATAACTTTGATGCTTAGTTCCCTACGTTCTAGCGTAACTTTCTTGAGTTTTCCTCTTGAAAAATCCCACATTTGTGTTGTGTTCTTGAGTTCTAACCTTGAATTTTCTTAAAGGTATGTTCTTTGTGGAAAGAAAGCATGCTTGCTTGAGAAAGACAGGAGCTTGAAGCATTGATGCTCATTTGAAGATGTAAGCATGAAACTTTGGAAAAATGGTGACAAAAATCCCACCACCACCACCTAAACCATTTGGCCATCATGAGTTCTCATAGGAGTTGATGTGTTTAATTGATAAAAATTGGTTCTTCGGGTTGCTAAGTGTGGACAATCTTGAGTAGGACCAAGGGAAATGTAAAAATGCAACTTTTAAGCTTAAAAACACTAATCTTGATTAAAGAATGGGTTTACGCTCTAATGACTTTATTATATCAAATCTGTCCTAAATAGTATGATTAGGGTTTTATGTTTAAAATTTAATTAATGATGGATTAGTGAACTAATTAAGTTTAGGAATTAATTAACTAATGAAATGGTAAAGTTAACAAGTTAATAACTTAAACAATTTTGTCACCTAAGGACCAATTAGGGTTAGGATGTTAAAAATTGGTTCAAGACCTAATTAGGATACTAATCTAAGGTTTAAGTGAGGTGGACCATGCATAATGGATTACTTAACTATAAAAATCCTAAAATGGACCTAATGAAGGTTCAAAAGCACTAATTATGTAATTAGTGAACCTAATGAACTAAGACCTAATGTGAATATGTGGGAATGCATATGTGACCAATAATAGAAAAAAATCCTAAAATTAAAGTGACTTAGAGTTTCTAACCAAAGATAATTAGGATTTACTAATTAAACACACTTCGGTTAAATGACCAATTTTTAGGCTAACTTTGGGAGAGCATATCTCACTCCACAGAGGTCCAATAGGAATGTGCCAGATATCGTTTTGAAGCTTGAGATGTCAACTATGTTGTGTCAAAATTTGGTACCATAAAAGTGGAATTTAGGCTAAGTGGGTTTATGGGAACCCTTAGTAACTTATAATAATTAATATTCAAGGTTATGAATGACATATATTGATGATAAATGTCCTGATTAGTTGTAAGTTAAGTGGAAAATGCCTTAATCTAAGAGAGTTTATTAATGGACTAAGTGTCTAACGAGTTATTGTGGACTTAGTGAACGATTCCTTATGCACTAAACATGTAATTAAGTAATAAATAGTCTCGACTTGTAATGGACACATTATTGGCATATAAGTATGGAAAGTGGAATCATTAAATGATTAAGTCTTGGATATGACTTGATTAATTAATATGTAATTAATGATGTGAATGGTTCCTACTCTAGGTGTGCCTAGAGAACCTTGCACTTGAGGATTTTATTGGAGCATACGTATTATATTGGAGTGTGGGCTTGTGCTAAGTTCTTTGAGGTAAGCTATTGTTTTGGTTGCTCCTATCTCTTATGGCCCCACCATGATGGTGGGCATTATGGTTAAATTGTATGAAAGTATGTGATATGTGGTATATGTGCATTCATTCACATTCATATATATATTATATGATTATTGATGTTTGATGATGCAAGGATGATGTATGTTTTGAGGTTCTTGGCCAGTGAATATGTATGTAGGCTACCTATGGCTTGACCTTGGGAGTTATTTCATACTACAGTTGTGTTGAGTGCCTATAGCTTGACCCTAGAAGTCACACTAGGCATGTAGGACATGTCAGTTAGCTATTCTTGGGGAGAGCCCTTGAATAGTTAACCAGAGGGTGACGTATGATGCTATGTTTATGTTGTATGTTTGTTACATATGCTTTATATCTAACTTGTCATGCAGGAAGTGGGCTCAGGGGATTAGATGATTCTCTAAGAACCTTGAGCTTACTGAGAAGTTGTTATCTCACCCCTTTTTGGGGACATCATTTCAGGTACCCAAGTTAGCAGTGTGCAGTCTAAGGCCAAGGACCCAGCTACGGATTAGTTGATTGTGGCTGCTGTTTATTTTTATTTTGTTATATTGTTATATGGCATGTGTAGTGTTTTGACATGCTTAGTCAGCTTATTTTGAGACAATGTTGTTGTATGTAATAATGCTCAGGATTATTTATTGTTTGAGTTTTTGGGTTATTGATGTATATATTATGAGTTATGTTAGATGCATATGATGAGTACACAAAGACATGATGTATGAATTCATTAAATTTGGCACAGAGCCATTATATATGTACTGACCTATTTAGGGGATTGCAGTTCGTGTGGGACTTGAAAGCTGTTTGTTAATTAAGTGTGTTTATCAGGTGTGATTATGTGAGATTCTTATCTCCCAGTCATCCGTTAAACAGCCGTTATGCTGTCCGTGAGACTCTGAGAGGAATGACATTTGTTGTCATATCTGGTTAGTCAATGGCCACTAATACTGGCTAATAGGATTAATTAGTAATTATATGTGTTAGATTTACGCTTTCGCGATATATCATGTGAACGTTTTTAGAAATGTTTTCAAAAAAAGTTTATTCGTATTTTTACAAGACATTCTTTAATTATTCAATAAAATCTTCTGCTGTTACGCTGTAATATCTAGATGTTAACAACCGAAGTACTACGGAGTGTTACATCCAATCACTATAATATTTTAATATGATAAAATAGACTTCTCAAGCTTTCCAATAAGGTATAACATGAGCCATTTAGATAAGTATAACAAGAGTTATGCAACTCACAATGCAACGGCTCTAAACTGGCCTCTACTCACAAGTTAGTCATCTCCATATAATTCTTGGCAAATGTTGGACATTTTAAAATTTCCAAATTTTAGATATATTAAAATAGACTCTTTGAGCTTTCTAAAGATATATAATATACCTTAATTGGATCTGTACAAACAATGTTATCCATGTCGCAATCCAACTACTTCAGACCAGACTTATGGGAAAGGAGCAAAAAATACAAAACAAAACTGGGATTAATTTACTTTTCAACAAAGCTTAAGACTTTCCAAAGTTAAAGGCCTTTGATTTGACTTTACAGAAGTTCAAGTCTCACTATATTTTGACATTAACATCTCAAAATATCCCTGTTTTATTATGATATTTCTAGTGCACAAAACAACACCTCCCTCTACTTCCTATCGATCTTTAGTGCACTATGGCACACTTTAGCGTGGGCATTAGATATTTTTCTCAGTTTTAGCAAACTTTAGCATGCTAAACCTAAGCATTTTGGACCTTAAGCGTGTTTTAGCACCCTTCGAGCGTGTTTTAGCATGCTACCCTATCAACAAGGGGTCCCAACTCGTGTCATACACTCACTCTTGGTTATCAATCAAGGTTCATCCACCCCCCCAATTGACCATACAACATTTCATGACCATGAATTTACTCATACAATTAGATCTCTAGGGATTCCACCCATTGACTAATCATGTGTAATCAAAATATGTTCTAAATAGGTGAGCATTACATGACATGGAAATGTATGGTCAAAGTTTTATTTGCATTATACAAAAGAAAGAGTAGAGTTTTGCTCCACCAAAAAAAGAAGAGAAAAAGAGTGGAGAATACAAGTATGGCTAGAAAAAGCTGTATACTAAAATGCATATGGGGTGAGTTTGCATTACCCTTAAAAGAAATTGGGAACATTTTTCTTAATGTTGAGGCTTATAAGTTCATCAGCACCACCTATAAATTGTTGTCCTATTAGCACTATAGGTACACTTAGACGACAATCAAGATGGATGAGTGTCCTCTCAATGTTGTAATGCTTGACAAGTTTGGCACTATTTATGAAAGATTGCAATTCCCTGCTTATGATACGTAAGGATACTCTGATATGGGTGTCCATGTTTTCATAGT